CCTCCCAACCCCCGATGCCACTGTTCTCACAATCTTACACACTCACTAACTCAATTTAACTATGCCGGAAGTTTAAGCTAAAGGAAAGTCAGATTAGTTATAGAAGCTTCTGGTATTATATAATGGATGTGTTGAGATAGCAATTGTATCATCGTACAGCGACGGTAGTTCATGTTCCAAGTGCTGTTAACTCAGTAGGTATAAATGCATCCGGTACAATAGCCGAGTGAGGGGCCCAGGAGCTAACTCTCGCTCCCCGCAGGCACATTAAGGTAAACACACCCGCACTAACCACGGGTCTAGATACCATGCTCCTGTACAACAATGTATGCTTTAATCCTCTCTAATTCATTAAAGACCTAAGCTAACCAAGCCATGAATACATTGTCAATTTCCGACTTTCGTATTTCGTTATATAGTCAGTCCGGTACGCAGTGTGTTAAATATGGACATACTGGCATGAATTCGACGTCCGCGCTAAACAGCAGAATTTCCATGTCCTGTAGAAAGCTGGTGGAACTAAAAGCCCCGAGAGACAGCTCGCACGAGTCATACCACCACCAGGGATGACCAGCTTCACCAGAAGGGTTGGAATAGTAATCAAACAAGGAATGAAGAAACCTCCTAACATCACCCCATATCTGGGCGAGCCACGGGAGCGCCGCTTCCCTCCCCTTCCCCTTCCAGGCTTGCCTCTGCCTAGCGTTTCTGCCAGCCATGAAAAACTGACATGAAATATTTCATGGGCAACAGTAAGAACAGCTATTACAACAAATGCAGCACGAGCGTCGGCAATTAACATAAAGTTGAGTTTGGTATGTACACAGCCACGAGAGGTCCACCAGGATCTCGTTCTCCGTAACTTTCCTGATGCTTGCGACATTCTGGAACGCAAGCCCCTCGTTCACATCGACCAGTAGGGCCATGCCGACACCCCACTGCCTCGTATACGGCGAATGGCCGATTCTGTTTGTTGCAGACCCAGAGTAAAAGTCAAACGTTAAATATTGTATCTTGTATTTTGCCAAGTTATTGCTGGAAAACGTGTAACATGATTATTTTATTTTAGTGTGTTGGGCGCGTGTGTAGGACAGGTATTACAGCGAGTGATCGGATCAACGGGCTGTAACAGAGATTGGCTATCCCGCCTGCCTGCCCCGACTCGTGCACCGTGAAATGTGGCCGCACACTCAGGCACACTACTCCAAAACTTTCACTACCAGGCGCTGCCGTGCGTGAGAATGCTGGCTTCGTGTCTATCCGCTCACACATGCGTCATAATGCTAGTTTCGCGTCCGTGAGTGCACGCGCGTTCATGTGTCTTCTCTCTTACACACACACACACACACACACACACACACACACACACACACACACACACACACACACACACACACACACACACACACAAACACACACACACACGAATAATAACCCAGGGTGGATGTGAAGGAGCGTGCTGTATCAAACATCAGTGAGAAGCGACGGGGAACCCTAACCGGGTGAGAGCCAGATCCTGGCCTCGCACTGCCACACATTAAAACATCACACACACACCATCAATGTCACCATAAACATCTCCGCTAATGTAACCGGGAAATATATGAATGGCAATGTTGCTTACGAATTCTGCACGATTCACACTCGTCTTTGGTTCTTGACGAGCGACGGTGACCAAAGTGAATCTGATATTTGAAACGAGGGCGATTTTCAATTTTCGATCACGTGACGAGAAACCTGTCGAGCCACAGAACAATGTCAATCATCTACTGCGTTACTTGAGTGACAGCTTCGTGCGATTGGAATCCTTTATGGGAATATTGCCATCGGTTACACCACCAACAATTTGCTTAGTATCGTTCCTTGCGTTATCTGGAGTAGGTTACAGGAGGAGTTCTTCCCTAAGTCCGACCCGGCTTGTCTTGTGACTACCTGATCAAGAAGGCTGTTGTTGCTTGCAGCGTCGGGTCATGCTATACTCGGGTCGTGGAGCGATAATTGGTCTCCAGGATCGACACAGTAATGGTGCAGATACAGTGACCAGTCACCCTGATGCAGCGAACAGTCACCATCGATCACCGTACCAAACACAGTCCCTACAAGCCCCGAGGCTCCCAACACAGTTTAATAATCAAAGACCGTACAACCCCCCCCCTCCCCCCTTCCCTAGGCTATGCCAGTATCAAACCTCGGCTCCTGAATGACAGCAAAATATTTTTCTATACAAAAAAATCATCATTCCGACAGCGCCGGGCGGGGAGATGGGAGGGAAAACGTTCCCAGTATTGAAGGATAAAAAAGAAAAAGGAGGGGATTTTAGCAACTTTTAGTGAGATATCTGGTGTGAGCCGCCCAGACCGTCAGAGGTCAACCCCGGCCCCTGAAAAGCTCAATATAAAGTGGGTAGTTTGTGGCGACCATACGGCACCATTATGCCCCCATACAGTGTGTGTATATACTCTACCTGCACTATACACCCCACACCCAAGTATACAACCTCGCGGAGAGGAATGAGGGAAGGGCAGGTTCAGAAATTTGGGTGTGGGGTGAGTGAGGAAGGGGAGATGGAGGTGTAGGGTGAGTGAGGAAGGGGAGATGGAAGGGGAGGGGAATCAGGAGGTGCGGGGGAGAGGGAGGGGGAGTGGAATGTATTGTGTCAGTGTAGAGTTGGGGGTGTGTGGGCTGACTCCTGTTGTTTCCGCACCACCTCTCATCATCCAGTATTGACCACACACATTCTCCCCCCTCTACCAACAGGGTACTACCTACCTGTCGTTGGTTCCGAGGAGCAATGTCCCCGCGGCCCGGTCCCCGACCAGGTCTCCCGGTTGGTCCTCTGGTCAGCCAGGCTGTTGGACCCAACTGCTCGCAGCCTGGTTGATCAGGTATCCTTTGGAGGTGTTTATGAAGTGCTCTCTTCACTTCATAAACGTGAGAGAGTACGTGAGAGAGTAACAACTCCCTCTACACACCTTGTGTGTAGAGGGAGCCCTTATGGGTAGAGTATACATCTTAATTATTGGGACCGATTAAAAGTTCTAAATCTGTATTCTCTAGAGCGCAGGCGAGAGAGAGATACATAATAATCTACACGTGGAAGATATTAGAGGGACTGTTCTCAAATCTTGACACAGAAATAACACCACATGAGACCAGGAGGCATGGCAGGATGTGCAGAATACCCCCGTTGAAAAGCAGAGGTGCAACAGGTACTCTGAGAGAGAGAACTATCAACATCAAGGGCCCGAGACTGTTCAACACTCTCCCGCTACACGTAAAGAGCATAACTCTCCGGCCTCTCACAGTGTTCAAGAGAGACAACTCGAAAACACCTCCAAAGGATACCTGATCAACCAGGCTGCGAGCAGTTGGGTCCAACAGCCTGGCTGACCAGACAACCAACCAGGAGGCCTGGTTGGAGACCGGGCTGCGGGGCTGTTGATCCCCGGAAGCTACACAAGGTAGGGAGTCTTGATAAGTGTTGGTCCCCCAATGTTGATGAATTATCTCTCCGTTCCTATTGCACCTCTGTTTTTCAATGGGGGTATTCTGCACATCCTGCCATGCCTCCTGGTCCCATGTGATCCTATTTATGTGTGCAGGTTTGGAACCTCTCCCTCCGATATTTTCAGAGTGTAAATTATTGTGTAACTCTACCGCCTGCGCGCTAGAGAATAGATTACAAATTTGTAGTCGGTCCCAATAATTCAGGTGTTTAATTTAGAGATTTCTAGTAGTAAAATATCTTTCCATGCTCTTCGGGTCAGCAATTTATTCAGCTTTGAACACGGCTGTAAGTGTGTCCAACAATATTCTACCTTACCTTGTGGGTTATCTTGCGATGATTTCGGGGCTCAACGTCCCCGTGGCCCGGTCCTCGACCAGACCAGGCCTCTTCGTTGCTGGACTGGCCAACCAGGCTGTTGGAAGCGGCTGCTCGCTGCCTGACGTATGAATCACAGCCTGGTTGATCAGGTTCACAGTCTGGCATCTATTTTTTTAAGGGTTCCTGATATCCTACCTGTTATTTTTCTTGCAGCTGTGACAGCTACTTTATTGTGTTCTTTGAAATCAAGGTTTCCAGACATGATTACTCAAACATCTTTTACATTGTTTTTTCTTTCTATGTTGTCATTTTTGCCGGGCTTTATACGTGGTTTCCGCTTTGTTTTCTGGTTTTCTTCCACACATCATGTTATTTTTTGTGGCCCACTGAAAGACCTGATTAATATCAGCGTGGAGGTTTTGCCGTGTCCTGTATATTGTCCTATTATACTGTGCACTACTATGCAGTTCTGCAGTAGTGCAGGGTACTGTACAGCACTACACAGAAGTGCACGGTACTACACAATACTGCACAGCACTGCACTATCTAAACACGTTCCAAGAATCGACCCGAAAACATTGCAGATAAAACTAACCATCCACAATGACTCCTACTATTCCTTAAAATGCCAAAATTGTACAGAATTATCATGCATTAAAAGCTTGTACAGCCCTTAACAGTGTCCCGGGGAAGGGGGTGGTGGCCCCTTCCCTTCACCACAACCAGGCGGACATCACAGCACGTCACTCTTAACTCCAGGAACACCAGCCAGTCCTCCTAAGGTTTCCCAACGTCAAGAAACTGTCGGACTAAAGTGCCCGTATCCTAACCTACCAGAGTATCCAAAACAGAACACGGGGCAGTACGTCAATTTCGTGAGCCGCTACCATTTTCTAGTACGACGATTTTTGGCCTTAGGTTGTGTATACGTCAAAATGCATCGTTCTATTGGGAGGAGGACGGGTTAGGCAGTTGTGGTTCGTGACTTGGGTGTAGTCCCGCCCATGTCAGGAGCCACAACTGCCCTCTCCAGAACTTGTAACACATCTAAGGCGCATATCTGTGTAGCTGAGTGTACGGTCAGCGCGCCACTACACCTACACCTGGCGGGATCATAACCTCCACAAGTGTGGCGCTCCACCTACGGAAGTAATGAGCGTGAAGTAGGCCTTACCTTGGATGTGGTTGATGGGGTGGCTGTGCTGGAGGATCTGATCAGCCAGCTTCTGAGCGGTGGGAAGGACCTCTGTGTGGTGTTCGCTGATCAGGTACTGCATCATCTTCTGTAGCTGCTGGCGGTCCATCTGCAGCAGCGTCTCTGTGGGACACACATCATTCAAGTTCAAGTTCGTTTATTGAGATAAGAAAGAAATACATCTCAAAGGGATAGAGTAGCTTAGGCTATTTCTACCCCCCCTTCACACATACACCATCACGCACCGCTGTGATGCTCTATCAAATGTAGATATGATAGAGCCCAGTAGGCTCAGGAATCTGTACACCAGTTGATTGTCAGTTGAGAGGCGGGACCAAAGAGCCAGAGCTCAACCCCCGCAAACACAATTAGGTGAACATAACTAGGTGAGTACCGCTCTCTTACATCTTGGGCCTCATCCCCCCCCCCCACCCATACTCACATTGGCTTCACAATAACATGAACATTTAGTGTTCTTCCACGTTACATGGTGTAGTTCTTCAAATAACAAATGCCCCCTCCTCTCACCCTCTTAGAGAGGGTGAGAGGGCATGACCCTCAGGCCTCGGGAGTGACCCTCGTCTAGCAGCCACTAATAAAACATTATAACACTGAACATTCTCCCATGACCTTTATTTATGGCTCATACAAAATGGTCGGGAGATGGCCTGCATTTATGGGCCACAAAGTGACCTGGAACTACCAGGGACTGGCTTAAAGTGACCTGAAACTGCTAAAGACTGACCTAAAGTGACCTGACACTGCCATGGCAAGAGCATGCCTGGAGGGGGAGGGGGGGTTTCAGGAGTTCTACTTCAACTTGGGCTGGACGATAGAGCCACGGTGTCGTGTCTTGCTGGTCGGCGTTTAATCCCCGACCGTCCAAGTGGTTGGGAACCATTCCTCCTCCCAACCGTCCCATCCCAAATCCTTATCCTGATCCCTTCCAAGTGTTATATAGTCGTATTGATTTAGCGCTTTCTCCTAATAGTTTAATTACAGCCCTGTTCCTGTGCCAGGTAAGTCCACTACGGGCTCACCATAGCCCGTGCTACTTGGAACTTTAGTTCCGAGTAGCTGAATCTAAAAACAACATCAACTAACAGTTCTCCTCCCGTACCCGGCCTGGGACCAGGCTCGACGTGGGGCATCTTGGTCCAACAGGCTGCGACTGACCTAACGTGACCCCAGAGAGAGAGAGAGAGAGTATGGGCACTGACCTGAGATGGGTATCCTGAGCTGGACGGCGTCTGCGTGTCGGATCCGGTGGAGGGAGAGTGCCACCACGTGCGGGCACCAGAAGATGTCGCGCGTGTCGCACGAACACGTCACCGACGTTATTTTGCATCTGAAATGAAAACAAAAAGTAGTTTTTAACAAAAATGACACTCTTGTAAGCTTCCATATAACGCAATCGATAACACACACACACACACTACCATCTACCCACCTACACCGGCCACCCACACCCACCACCTACACCGGCCACCCACACCCACCACCTACACCGGCCACCCACACCCACCACCTACACCGGCCACCCACACCCACCACCTACACCGGCCACCTACACCCACCACCTACACCGGCCCCTGGCCTTCATCACAACGAATGCGAGCTGCGACGAGTGGTGGCTTGTGCCCCAAGCAAGCATTAAGACAGTTCACCACCTTCAGCCGTCAACCTTGTATCCACGACGTGCCTCGCGACCAATGTATCGTCGACAACACAGAGTTTCTTCACGTATTACGTTTCCATTTGTCAGTTCTTTAAACAGATATCGGTGAGACACCCGCCAAGCTCAGGGTACCTGGGCTGTGAGGCTTGTACAGTGTAGTCAGGTTTGTACAGTGTATTTCTAAGGTTGTCCGGCAGCTCCAGGATTCTAGGGATTCACCACCATCACCTGGTTGATACCTGGTTGATACCTGGTTGAGTCCTACCAATCTTGGGGCTCCTCGGGTCCTTGATACCATCTTGGGTCCTACTCGACGTCGCAGCTATTCCACGCTCGTATACTGAACAGATTAAGCGCCATGATCGAGGACGAGGGAAAGATGTACAGGTTTCGTAAGTGGATACGTAAATGTTAGATAAATCCTGGTCCAGCGTCTTGATGGCGCGTTTTAGTACCACTTATTTTGTAAGTTGTGGCAGATGAAGGCGCGTGCTCGGGGCGCGTGCGGACACGCACGCTAACTGGCGGGAAAGTATACGAAATTGTCGTCATATCTCATAAAAACATTGATTTTCTTTATTTGTATTGTTAAACAAAGTTGTCATATGAATTTTAATAGTGATAATAGGCTGAAATATATTTTTATTAACTAAAAATCAGCAATTGGTCCACAACCCGGCATGGTTGGAGTTTACCTGAAGAGGGTTCCTAGAGTTGTCCTACTTCTCAAGCCCCACCTGGGGCAGGCTTATCTTACGATAGCTTGATTTGAAAGGCTCGCTTGGCGCTGTCGGCAGGGCGCGCACATTCGCCACAACCAGGTTGGTCGGGCAGGGCTTTTAACACTGACACTCTTGTCAGTCCATATAATGCTCTCAGATTGTGCCTATGGCACCTCTGCTCTCCCCCCCCTTACCCCCCCCTTTCCATTCTGCATTTCCTACCATATCTTCCGCTTCTGTAAGTTGATGTTTTGCTGCACCTGGTCGACGACCGGGCCGCGGGGACGCTAAGCCCCGGAAGCACCTCAAGGTAAGGTAACCTGTCTGGACCAGACCCTCCAGTATTCTCCATCTTATCAGCCTCCTCCCCCCCCCCACTTTCTCTTCCTCCATCTTCACCCCTTAATCACCACTACCACCAGTCCCCCACCACATTACACATCCCCCCCCCTGCCCCCTAATACCAACCACCATCTTAACCACCATCTCCCTCCCCTCCCTCCCGCTCCCTCTCTCACACTTTCTTCATTTTCATGCTAATTTTTTCATCTACATAGAGATGGGTGTGTGTTGTGGTGGAGCCTAGTGTGTTTATGTCTGGGGTTCCTCGTCCCTGGTGCCCCCCCCCCCACACACACACACCGTCTTCAGAGGCACGCACGCACTCAAGGGGGCATCCGTGCGGCCTTTTCACGAACACACTCCACGCAACAGTCTTAAAGGGCATTCTGCGAGCGGCTTTCGGATGCACGCACTCAACAGCCTCCACGCAAACCCTCAAGACCCTTTATATGCACTCAAAAAAACATCCACGGCCTACGCACGCACTCACCCAAAAGTGCGTGCGTTAGCGCTTTGGTCTAGACCAAGGTCTTCCACACAACACACTTTAATTCACACCATTCACACTCATCACACACTCACCATACACTCAAGAATTATACACTAGTTCAATATACAAATCTCACCGGAGCAGGGGGGGGGGAGGTGTACGAGTTTTTTTTAAAGCTGAAAAAACGATCAAATTGCAATTTAAAAAAAAAGAAATACTGGCTTTTGATTGGCTTGCGCCTACCGTGTTTGATTCACAGAGATACACCCGTTAAAGGGAATTCCCCGACTATACGTGTGTGTGTGTGTATATTATATATATATATATATATATATATATATATATATATATATATATATATATGTACACCTACATATACAGTTGCTTAGAGAAGTGTAATCTGTATTACTTTATTACAAACTCCCGTATTGAGATTACAAATGTATTTAGTAACTTATACACGTTGTTTAAACGATAGAATTGTTATCTTCATTGGTATTTACATATGTTTTTTATTCCATTATTTGTTAATTACGGTAATGCGTGCATGATGTTATTCAACTCGTCCTCAGACCATGTCCATTCCATCCAGAGGTCGACCCCAAAGACGCATTCATCAATTTTAACATGCTGTTCATTCAAAATAGGAATTTTCTTAAATATAAATGATTATTATTTTATATTACTGTATTGTACATATTTAGGCATTGGTTAGGTTAGGGATTTAGGTTCTGTTGGTGATTATTTGTATTTGTAGTACGTGGGTGAAGCATTTACAGCGTTGTGGTTCGAACAAAATTTGTCAGTGAAGCATTTGTTCCGGAAGCGTTCGAACGTCATCAGTTGTGAGTCGTGTGTAAACCGTTTTCATTCATAAACAGGGGGTTTGGCGGGTGGATGGAATGGACTTTGGCCTTTGTTTATGAGGACGGACTGTGTTATTAAGAACCGTCGTCCTGAAGGCAGCCAGAATATCTATATTTAAGAATGCCAAGGTCATTCTTAAATATAGCTCTAACGTGGTCATCAGCTCTCTTAAGAGCTGATGTTGATATGGTCAAAGGTTGACCGCACAGGACTCTTAGACGCAAGAGCCACGGCGCAACACACTCTTGACAGGGTTCACAAACTCTCAGGAAATATCTTTCATATTTTTTTAATGGTGACTTGAATGTGTGTCCCCCCCCCCTCCATCACCCCTTAACACACTTCTCCATCACACACTCATCTCCCATCCTAAGCTATGCTCTCTCTCTCTCTCTCTCTCTCTCTCTCTCTCTCTCTCTCTCTCTCTCTCTCTCTCTCTCTCTCTCTCTCTCTCTCTCTCTCTCTCTCTCTCTCTCTCTCTCTCTCTCTCTCTCACCAGGCTATTCCCTCTCACACTAGGTTATTTATTCCCTCTAACACTATGCTGTTCCTTTTCAACCTATGCTACCCCCCCCCCCCCCCACCCTACTCAATAGGTGACACTTCCAATTTCACACACAATTAATACCAACTATCACCTTTAACGCTCCTCGGGAGCCAGAGGGGCGTAAGCCACGTGTCATACACACCAGTTAGCTACAACATGATTCTAGTGTGTGAGTGCAGGCCTGGAGTGTGTTCCTGCCTGGCAACTCTACCATATACCTACCTACAGCCCACACATGTGTTACACAGCTGTGCACAGGCCCGCACACGTGCCACACATCTGTCCAACAGCCCACACGCCCACCTATCCCAGCAGCCATCTGTGCATAGAGAGGACGAGCAGTGAGAGGACCCGGCTAGTAGCGCCAATGTGATGTGACAATCAGGCTCTTGGTAAGCAATTAAATGTAATCTGATTCATTAACGCTTCACTATAGTTTCATCTTGCAGCGGAGCTTGCGTCATCTATCTATCTATCTATCTATCTATCTATCTATCTATCTATCTATCTATCTATCTATCTATCTATCTATCTATCTATCTATACCTCTCTCTCTACCCCTCTCTCTACCCCTCTCTCTACCCCTCTCTCTACCCCTCTCTACCTCTCTATATCTCTCTCTACCTCTCTATATCTCTCTCTACCTCTCTATATCTCTCTCTACCTCTCTATATCTCTCTCTCTCCATCCACTCTTCTCGGACCGAAGCCACAGAGCACATGGTGTATAGTCAGTCAGTTTAGGCATGTTGCTGGTGGGAGGGTTTGAGGCTGTGGCTTAGTTGCTTCTCCTCACTCAGGGCCTGTAGCGAGACGCGGGCCGCTACAGTAGCACTCACTGGGCGTAACATGGGACTATCAAAAGCTGTGGAGAGAGTGGGATAGCGGAGTACCTGCATGACTAATGGTAGCATGGCGCTGCGCGCACACACACACACACACACACACACACACACACACACACACACACACACACACACACACACACACACACACACACACACACACTGATAGATATGATAGAGCCCAATAGGCTCAGGAATCTGTACACCAGTTGATTGACGGTTGAGAGGCGGGACCAAAGAGCCAGAGCTCAACCCCCGCAAGCACAATTAGGTGAGTACAATTATGTGAGTACACTGGCAGACCAATCCACATCACACTCAATTCAGCAACAATACTTTTTTTTTACAGGAAACGTTCAGATCGCAATACCCAAATTGAACCCGGCCACCACCACCACCACCACCACCCAGCAATACTCGCAACACCAACACCTAACTACACCCAGCAACACTTGCTACACCCAGCAACAACAGCGCGGGGGGGGGGGAGGGGGGGAGGGAGGGGGGCGTCGGTGGCCACAACCTCCGCCAGGCCTTGACCCTCAACCCTTCCGGTCAAGAGGGGCACAACTACCGCGCCACGACCGTGCCTCTACCCCGTCTCCGCTCTGTCGATACATTTGCTTACGTGAATGACACGCGAGGTGACGCAAGCTTGTGTGGTGTAGTACACACCTGAGGTGACGCAAGCTTGTGTGGTGTAGTACACACCTGAGGTGACGCAAGCTTGTGTGGTGTAGCACATTGCTTAATACGGCGAGTATGACTGGGGAGTCACGCCGTACAGCATACCAATATGTCTTGACTGCACATTAAACCTTTTACGACCCAGAAACTGACATACTTTGGTGGGCCAGT